TCCCAACCCAACCCGTACGGGTTAGTTGGGTTGGTCGGGTTGATACTTTAGTACATTAAAATATTTTTCTAACCTAGAACATGTTATTTCTCTACTCATAGTTTCTTTTTCATCATCAATCATTTGATACAACTTATTCATACTTTTTACGTATATCACATTCAATTGATTTTCTCAATTACATATATATATGTTCACAGTTATTGAACATATATATATGTTCACAACGAATGAGTTATATAAAGATGTGAATATTATTGAAAATATGTGTATATGAAGAGTATACATGATAGTGTAATTGTCTAATGTACATATTAATAAAAATTCAATAGTCATATTAAATCCAATAAATAAAAAGATATCGGGTTCATTAGGTTGGGTTGGGTTCAAATAATAGTAACCCAATATCAACCCAGTACCTACGGTTTGACAATTTTACAACTCGATTAGACATCGGGTTGTTTTGGGTTGAATTATTTCGTGTTGAGTTGGGTTGGTCGGTGTTTTGAGCACCCCTAATCTTTAGTACTAGAACGAATATCAGTTAAAATAATATAACACGTTTATTCAAGTGAGGCTGTTAATCTTTACATATTTTGGTCATTGCGCTTTTAACTTTAGAATCATGTAAACTATGATCATAAATCCATTACAAGGTAAATGCATTAAAAAGAGACAAATTTTAATGTATGATGCTGCTACAGTTGGTGGCGAACTAGCTTTAGGGAAAAACGTATTAATAGCTTATATGCCATAGGAAAGTTACAATTTTGAAGATGGAGTACTCATTAGCAACCACTTCCACTTAGTATATGAAGATATTTATACTTCTTTTATGTAAATATGAAATTCAGATAAACCAATACCCCAAAAGGGTCACTAGTGAAATACCTAAAAACTCATTTACTCCAAAATTTAGACGAAAATGAAATTGTAATGCTCGGATCTTGGGTGGTTAGGAGTAGAGGTGGCCAAAAACCAGTCCCGAGACAGGCCGGGCCTAAATCGGTCCCGGTCCCAAATAGTAACAATCTAGACCGGTCCCGTCGTAAATTCTAAGGCCCGGTTAAGGGTACTTGTAACCGGTTATGGTAACCGGGCCCAAACCTGTACTATATTAAAAAAAACATTATATATATATATATATATATGTATATATATATAATTTCTTTTTGATAAATTTTTAAAAATATTTTAATGTTATTCTAATACACTTTAAAATTCTAATTAGGTCAATCAAATACATTTAAAAAATACGTTTTATTGTAGTTTTATAATTTGTTTTCAATCAAATACACTTAAAAATTACGTTTTTATTATAATTTTATATTTTTCAATCAAATACACTTAAAAAATATATTTTATTGTAAATTTGATTTTTAATAAATACACTTAAATGTATTTATTAAGGGGGTTGATATTGCCACCCCCTTGATGACTTTCTACCCCCTGTCAAATGTTCCCCTCTCACACACCATCTCCCTCACATATCACTCTCCTCACACTTTTTTTAATTTTAAAAATTTTAAATTTACATTTTATACCCCTATAATTAGTTAATTAATTTACTTTACGTTCTTTTCTTTTAAATTTTTTATTTTATAGTCTGATTAAATTAAAATACATAATCGTACATCAAATAAAATATGTTTAAAAAATACGTTTTAATTTTAACAAGTTACACCATTATAATCGTTACGTCAATACCTTCGAAATAAGTCCACTATTGAATATTTTTTGATTTAATTATTTTTAGTTTAACCCTTGAATATTTTTATTTTTCAATTTTAACCCTTTAATATTTTTAGTTTTCACCCTTCGACTTTTTAAATACTTTTCTATTATACCCCCTAGGTTTTTTATCTATACTATAATTACATATATTAATTAACTATATATTATTATTAATTAAGTATTAAGGATACATATTTTTTTAATAATTA